AAAGATATTGAATGATAAAAATAAAACTTGACTTTCACTTGGTCCTGTAGTTTTTCTCAATAGCTGAAGACCTCAAAAGATAACTGTGATTCTCTGAAAATAAAGCTAACAGAGGGTCCCTTGGAAACAAAACAATCAGTGTGAAGATTCCTAAAAATGTATTTGTACATACACAAGGCACTTCCAGAAAAAAAAAAAAAAAGTAGGAGCTGGAGAAAAGGTTTGGGAGTGGGGAAATTAAAATACATTTCAATTAAAGAATGAGTGCTTACTCCTAATTAAGCTTAACTTCCTTTGCACCAGGAGCTATGGCAAAGGATATTTTCTTTTTAAGTAGCAGGGTACTTAAATAGGGTACTTTCTCTGCCACCATATGAGCAGCTTTCCTTCCAACTAAAAATTTACAAGCTTTGCAGACTTAAAGTTATTGTAGTTATGTATAGAGGCACTAAGACAAAGTCTTGGGAAATGAACTGCTGAGACAGTATATTTGGGTGCTAAATATTTGGTTACAAATGACAGAAACCAAGAGGGAAAAAAAGGGAAATTGGTTATAACCAGTAATGTCAAAACTTGGTTCAAATGTCACCTTCTCTATGAAGTCTTCCTCCCAATTATGCACGTTTTGATTATAGAACTTGCTGAATGTATGCAGGCACATAGATATCACTTATTTACAGTTTAAGCAGATTGCCGGCAAAGATTGTTAGCTAGCTATGTACAATAGATGATCGTAATTGTCATATGAATAATGTATTTCAACATTTTACATTTGCTTCACTTTTAATAAATGCTTCATCCAGCAACTGAAGTAATTTATTTGAAATAAAATGACAGTATTTTCAAAACAATACCTGTAGATAGGTCTCTACCCACCATACTTTCCTAAACTGTCTTAACATTTGGTCTTAATCCAGATAGATTACATTTTCTGGCTGAGCTTGTGACAGTTATTAATTTATTATCTCCTGGCCTCAAATTTACCCTTCAATGCCTACAAAAATGAATACAATCCTTGCATTTCTCCTTTAAGGAGGCATGAAGTGAAGACACTTCAGGCAGGGGCAATGCTGGTTCCAGCTGCTGCAAGGCTGGTCGGCAGTTACAGGATGCCCAGTGAGGATCTGCTTTGCTGTGAGCCTAGAGTAGCAGTTCCAGCCTGGCCTGACCACATTCCCGTGGTCTCCCTCACCCAGATTTTATCCACTCCAGACTCCCACTCTCACCAGTACCCTGTTAGCATGCCAACCCACCAGTGGAGGCTCACTTATGACCTGGAGTGTGGCTTTCTATTTGCCTGGTGCCTGGGGACAGACTGGGGCTGAGAAATCCAATGAGTTCATTGGTCCACTCTCAACCATGGACCCTCTACTGCACGGAAGCTGACTGATGCTGTCATCAATACAGAAGCCTGGGACCTCTGATGTAAAAAACTAAGGTAACAGAAAAGTACCTAACCATTGCAAAGAAAATATGAATTAAGAGTAATTATGTAGAAATTAGTGGTATTACTGAAGAATAGGTCCTTCTGTAGACTGTCTCAATTGTAGTATCATGACTGAGGAGGCTGTATATTTAAATTACATGGTGAGCTTGACCTTTTGAGCCAAACAGACCTTCGATCAAATCCCAGTAGTGGCTTGGTCTTCTCAGCTTTGGTCAATTTATATAACATCTGAGCCTGAATGGATATTCTGAGTTTCAAGGCAGGACTATATCACTACAAAGTACAATGGACCTCCTACATAGAATTGAGAAAATTAAAGTAAATAACCACTACAATGATTAATTTTCCCTCATGGTTCTTCCCTTAATAAGAACACTGAAGCACAGAAATAAGCCTTTTGCCAACAGCACTGTAATTTATAAAGCTGAAACCAGGATTAAAATACTCTTGACATAGTAAGTATGCCAACTTCTGTGTGCATACTTAGAAAGTAGGCACTAATGACTATTAGGAAGGATAAAAGTCCCATCCTATAGCTTCCTGAAAAATACTATTCCTTATCAAACAGACTCATGATGATCTACCAAAGTATAAAATAAGGAGAATTTAGGCAATTAAAATTTTAACATCTTAAGTTTATATATTTTATGCTTTATAAAGTGCTATGACTAATGCTATGTTGTTTGTTCACACCAGCTTTATTTCTAAAAGACCTTTTAGTGATAGAAGCAATAAAGAATTTCATGAACTAAGAAATTTTTGAAAATACATCATTTTAGATGTGAGAAAAGGCAACTCATGACTAATCACCTTGCTAATAATTCTCAACTTTTAATAGAAGCCCATACTTTAATTGCACATATCATCTACAGTGGACTTTCAATCAAGAGGTTTAAACTGTTCTTTCTCAGGAAGAAAAAGGCTACAAGGACTTGTTAGAGAGAAGTGATACAAATGTGAAAATGAACTATTGGAAGACTGCTAAGCGAGGGTAGTAATCATTTTCTAAGTATTATATCTGTACATTACCTTTTCAATTAAACATTATTTTCAGAATTACAAATCTAGATAAACTACTTTCCCCCCACCCTGCCTGTCTCTATTTCCTAAAACCAACAGCAACACTAGAAAAAACTTTAAAAATCATGAACCATTTAAAATGGCTTTATTGAGACTTGTTTTTTCCACTTTATATAGTTTAAACGTCTCCTGAAATACATTGTTTGCCGTATGTAACTTACCAGAATATTATCTCCTTTGGAATTGGGGCATGGGAGCCAAGGAGGACTACGTTTTGGATAGGGAATGACGTCACTGTTGCTGATGTGTCTGATGGGACTCACCTGCTCCATACATTCATAACACACCGCAGCATCCTAAGAAGTTGAACTTTCCCGATTTTCTTCCTTCTTTAAGGACAATGACCTAGTGCAGTTTCTAATCAATTCAAGCTTTTATTACAGCAAACACCTCCACTGTTTCCTGCTGACTGGCGTCATCTCCATTTTAATCTACCTTGCATATTACAGCCAGACTAATCTTAAAAGTAATTCTGCACTGTTACTTCCTTTCTGAGAAATCTGAAAAGTTTCCCATTAATAACATCATATTTAATTAATGGTTAATGATTATCTGCACCACACCATGTTTTTCATTTCTTCACTTTACTAGAGACAGGGCCATTCATGATGCACTGCGAAATGTGGACAAATTTTCTTTGAAAATTAGGATTTAAATGCTGTTTTATTTTTCTGCTCCACTCTCACTGTATCATTTATCTTTCAATAAAGGTTAGAAAACTTTGCTTTTCACACAATGCCCATGTGGCAGCTCTATACAATTTAGGTGAAATTAAGCTCAAAGGGAAATAAAAGGAGAAAAAAATAATGTAAAAATGGAAGTTCCATTTGACAATATATTAAATACCTAAAATAGGAAATAAGGATTTCTTAGTGTTTCCAACAAGAGTCTGGCAAGCACTAGAGAGATGGTTTCAGTCTGGTACACACAGTCAACACGAACACTATGCCTGTAAGTGATAACTGAAATTGCAGCCAGGGGCAAGCAGGGCCATTCTGACTTAAAAATTCTAACATTCACTGATATTTTCATCCCCAAATCTTAACAGATGTGTGCAGCCTTTTCTTTCAAAGTCTTCATACACTTTTAGCCATCTTCCCTATTTAAATGGGGGAAAAAGGTGACGAGGTACAAAAACTTCCATTTTTCTAGCTTCTCAGAGTGATACTTACAAATGAGCAGAATAATGTGGCTGGCGTCTGCTGCCAAGTATAGCACACTCCTTCATATCAGCGCTATTCTTTTGTCTTCTTCTGCAATAACATTCTTTTTAAAGAAATAATTTCCTTTACACAAACCTAATCACTAATAGAGAAATACTAGAGAAAATATTGTTAGAGCGAACAAGTATCTGTACCAAAAGCTGCAAAGTCAAGCCAGAAGCAGCACCTGGTTATTATGGAAAGCCAGTTGGGCTGTCCTTGAAGAATGAACACGTCTTCAGTTTGAGCAGCCCTTCTCCATGCACCTCATAGCTGTGCAAGGAAGCAGGGGGGGACAATGCTCATTTCATCTACAGAGACACAGAAGCGCTACTGCACATGGCTGTCAATCAGGGATCACACAACGCCAGGCCAAGACGTACAGGTCTCTCGTGCTCTTATTTTTCAGGTACAAAAACTAAGAAAAAAAAATTAAATGATTTCAGTTACATCTGACCTTGAAAACCATATCTGAAAATTGCATTTGGTTTCAATTTTCAGTATAACTTAATGTGACAAAAGTTTCGAAGACTCTTTTCAAAAACGGCCTGTTAAAACTCAGTAACTGAAGATAGCATTTTCTTAACAACTGATATATTGGAGCACTAATTATTTTAGAAGGCTCTTTTGTTAAGGCTTACAGTTCAGCATGTCATACCTAATAAAACTTGTACCACGGTCTTTCTTCAGGTGATTTATGTCAACTGATACTAACTTAAGCTTTTCTGTGACTAGTGAATTAAATTACCATTCATTACCATCCAATTTAAACGTAGCAGTATAGCAGAATTGCCAAAAGAGAGTAAGAAGCTCTTCTAACATTTATGGTAATTAATGAAATTTTCATATTATTGATGGAATAAAAGGATAATTCTCATCTGTTCTGCTTCATGAGTCTTCTACTCTTTCCAAAGTTATACATTCCTTCTCAGTTCCTTTTCTAATGTCACATTAATTTAAAAGTCCTTCTTTCCTCCTAAAGAGGTCCTTTTAAGATGTCCCAGAGAAATTACTAATGTACTTCAAGGTCTTACTAAACTTCTATGTGCCAACATTTCAAGTAAAATAGAAATTGTTGTTTTCTAGCATTTTACTGCACAATATAAACTTGATTAAAATGCACTAAGAAATGATATTTTGTGTTTAAATCAACACTAATTTAAAAATGTTTGGGAGACACCTTAAGTATATTCCAACTCAGCATGAAGGTGAGCAGTTTACTTCTGAAGGTTTAGATATTTTAACCATAGCTTTCAATTGAACCAAGCAACTTTTTTGGTCTCTTTCTTCACTTTTATTTCTTCTTATATTTTTTCTCTGGAAGTTCACAGTGTTACAGAAATGAAAAATAAGACTGATAGAAACTTATATGACTAGAACATATATGGCTTTATATACATAAAAATTTAATAATGTTGCTATAACCCCTGAAACAATGTAATACTTATTCACTATTATCCAGAATAAACTTCTGTACATATTAAATTGTTCAAGTATATCTAGAGCAGTACTTATAAAAAAGAGGTCTCACTAATTTACGGGTGAATTTTTGAAGACCACTTCTACCTTTAACACAATCAAGGTAGAGTTCTATCAATGATTTGATTTTACAATACATTCTCAAATATTCTAAAATGCTCAAATGAGCCAAACATATAATTTGATTTACATCTAGTTTAATAAACCTTTTGTACAGCACCAGAGGTTAAAAATGGATCTAACCAAATGTTTTCTTTCCTTTATTATAATTTAATCATCATTTATTTCTACAACAATAAACCCAAGTTGAAAATGAAGACAACTTGAGTCAAATGCTTTCACTTTAAATAAATAAACATTTCATTCACTTCACACTTAATACTCAATTGTTTTCCTATAGTGCGTTTCTTGGTAACAACTATTTAATTAATTTCTTGTCTTTGAGAACTAAGCAAGTCGGACAGGATTTTCTAGGTTTGCTTTAAAACTCTCAAGAAACTTGGTAGCCAGTTCGTCATCGACCACTCGGCTGTCGCTTGACATGGTGACTGTTATGAGCTGGCGCTGCTGCAGCCTGGGGTTCCCCTCTTCATCCTCAGTGAGTTTCAGCACAGGGCGGAATCTCCCAACAGCCAAAATGCAGGCCTGGGGAGGGTTGATCACTGCAGTGAATTCATCGATGCCAAACATCCCCAAGTTGGAAATACTGGAGGGAAAAAACAGCTCTGAAGGTGGCATATCCTCGATCAAAGTATGCTTTCCCCGAAGCATGTATTTTTCACTTTACTAAAAATGGTGCTGTGCTACGAGACCTTCTACCAAGTTATTCAAAGACAAAAGAATATGTATCAACACATATACAAATATATCTACTATTAAATATTCGGCATTGAACTGAAGGTCCTAGGCAGTGAGATATATCAAGAAAAAGAAACTAAGTATTAAATACTAGAAAAAAGAAAACTGCTGCTATTCACAGATGAACTGATTGTGTACATAGAAAATCTAAGGCTGTACGAATAAACTAATAAGGTTAATATGTGAACTTAAGTCACTGGACAAAAGGTCAACATAATTTTACCTAAATAGAAGTTGTTAAATTAGACAACAAAATTTAAAAATAATAACATTTGCAATAGTATCAAAAAACAAATACCAAGGAATAAATTTAATGAAAATATATGACCTCCACATAGTAAATTACAAAACATAACCAAAAGAAAAACTGGGCTGGGGATTTAGCTTAGTGGCACCATGCCTGCCTTGCAAGGTCCTGAGTTTGATACCTGGTACCACCAAAAAAAAAAAAAAAAAAGAAATCAAAGAACTCAGACTCAATACTGTGAAATGTAAATTTTCCTCAAACTACTCAAAAGATTTAAGGTAAATCCAATCAAAATCCCTCTAAGGTGTATGGTGTGTGTGTGTAAAATGACAAATTAATTCTAAATTTTATTGTTGTTTTGAGTATGAAGAGCCAGAAAAGACTATCTTGAGTAAATAAACTTGGAAAATTTTCCTTACCAGATGCCAAAAGTGATAGCTTGGTGTTAACTGAAAAAGGGAGAGACTAAGAGGCTAATGGAAAGAGAGAACCCAGACACATATAATCATCTTCTCAATACTACTGGGGAGAGATCTTTTCAACAAGTGATGCTGGGTTAATTTAATATCCATATGGGGCGGGGCTTCTACTTTACATCATATAAAAATCTAAGTTCAGCCCAACTGTGATCTACATGTGAAAAGTAAGTTACAGTGCTTTATGAAGGCAAAAATAACTTCGTGGCTATTCAAGAGGCAAAAAATAACTAACAGAAAACATGTCCTACCAACTACAAAGAAAAAGTGATAAAAAGAAATTCATTAGAATTCAGAACTTTTCTTTCTTAAAAAATATCACTAAGAGAGTCAATAGAAAACCACAGAGTGGAGAAAGTATGTGAAATAAGACACATCCTGTTGTATCTGAACGTCCCTCCCAAAGCCTCATGAACTCAGTGGGGGTTTATGGAAGGTGAAGGGAAGGGAAGGGATTGTGGAGTAGGGGTGGGGTGAGGGGTACAGCTGGCTTGGTGCTGGGAGGCAGGACTTGGCTGGAAGAAGCAGGTCACTGTGGGTGTGACCTGGAAGGGTACCTCTCCCTCTTGGCTCCTTCTTTTGGTCACTCCTTCTTGGATGCCACAAAGTGAAAAGCACTTCTTTGCCCAGGCCCTTCCACCATGCTGGGACTGAAACTTCTAAAATGTGAGCCCAAATAAACCTCTCCCCTTTGAAGTTGTGGGAGCTGGGTGTAGTTATGGCATCTCAGCCACAAAAAAGTGATTAAGATACCGGCAAAGGCCTGTGTATCTGGAAATAACAGCTTCTACAAATCATTTTTAAAAGTAGATGCAAGACTTCATCAGGTACTTTATCTGATAAGTTATCAGACACCCAAATGGCTGGTAAATGAAAATGTATTCATCACTATTAATCTGCATTTCCTTGGCTGCTGAGTACAGATACATATTCCAAGAATCATTAAAATTTAAAACCTAACATTAAAATGTTGGCAAGAATGGAACACTGGGAATTCTCATGTACAGTTGATGGAAATATAAAATTGGGGGAAAATTGTTTGATAGTATCTGTTAAAGCTTTTAACCCAGCAATTCTACTTTTAGTTCTATACAGCAAAAATATATACATATGTTCATCATAGGACACTAGTAAGAAGGTCCACAGCACCATTATTTGTAATAGTACAAACCTCCAAATGACAGAAATGTTCACCAAGTGTAGAATGGTGACTGGTACATTTACATAACAGAAAACTATACGTTAAAATCATGAATAAAAGCCTGCTTTGCATAGAAATATGGTGAATCAGGCATTAGTGATGAGAAAAATAAATTTGACAATAAAGAATACATGGTATTTACATAGAAACCAAAACCAGCAAAATTAGCCTATAATCATTTTCAGAATGGTGGTTTCCTTTGGGGAGTAGGTAATGATTATGAAGGATAAAAGGAAGCTGTGGTGACACTCATAATGTTCTAGATCTTTCTTTGATCATAAATTTATTTTAGAAATAAAGTTTAAGAACCTATATGCCATTCCTTCTAGTCAACGTCCATTCAAAAGAATGCTTATTTCAACACTTCCATATTCCTATAGCTTTGACATGAAAACCTTACTAGCGTGAAGGACATTTTCAAGTATTTTGTTAGCTAAATAAGGGATGTGATATTTAGCTTAAACTTTAAAAATGTTCCAGCAAAAGAAACAAAACATGTTGGCCTGGGTTTAGGACACCTTATATGTACCCGTCAGATGCTAATGAATTTCAGTTTTACCTGAAGGACCCTCCTTGGTACTCTTCAGGTGACAATTTTCCATCTCGAGCTTTCTTTGATAGAGCCTGAGAAAAGTAGAAAAAGAGCATGACCACAAAAAACAGATGACACAGTTAACTGGGTCACTGGAAATATTCATCTCTCATGTGTCTTAATTTCAGGTTTTAAGATGATTATATACAGATGTATAAACATTGTCTCTAAAAAAATTGTAACAAACATGTTAAAATACTGATAACCAAAGAAACTGAAGTCAATCAAAGCTCAAGTTTTTGTTCAAATACTGGATTTTCCCTGTGCACCGATACCATACAGAATGCTCCATTCTTTTCTATATATACAAAGTGCAATTGTCTATTTTGCCTGTAAGGTTTTTCTCTTGTACAGCAAAAATTTTTTTTTGTTTTTGGTACCGGGGATCGAACTCAGGACCTTGTGCTTATAACACAGGTGGCGGAACCACTGAGCTAAATCCCTGGTCCAACAAAAATATTAAAACAAGTCACTGTTGTCAACCTATTAGGTTTTAAATAAATTCAATCTATTAGATTTTAAATAAATAAATACTAGGTTTTAAATAATTCTATTAGGTTTTAAATAAATTATTGAGAGGCATACCCACAATTCCACAAACCAATGCATGAGTTTTCATTATTTAGTTTTCCTTTATCTACAACATACATAACTTCAGACAATGGTAAAGAACAAAATAGAATGTTGTATTTCACTTCTCACTACTGTATGTATCTCTTGTGTTCTTAGCATTCACAGATGATTTGTAATGTCTGCTTAATCTAAAGAACCTGCCATGTGTGGCAGCGCACACCTGTAATGCCAGCTACCTACAAAACTGGGGCAAGTAGAGTGCAAGTTTGAGCTCAGCTTAGGCAACTCAAGTGACTTAGACCCTGTGTCAAAATTTAAAAAAAGAAAAAAAAATTTTAAGGGGGTGGGGTGGGGATGTAGCTCAGTGCAAAGGCCCTAGGTTCAACCTCCAGCAGCTCCCCAGAAAAGGAAAGAAAGATCATTCTAAAGAACCACATCTGCTGTAATTGCTTTAGTCATTTTTCCAGCATTATGATTTGCTTCACTAGTTTCTTCTGATTTCAAATCAATTTTGAGACATGAAATTAGTTATTTTATGTCACTGATCCCAGAGCTGAAACATTTCCTGAATGAACTACTCCAATTCACCCTGCCACAAGGAATGTAAGAATGAACTAGCTTGATTTTTCAATACTGATTTCTAAAAATGTAGAGGGAAGGCAGATGACAACAAGAGAGGCAGTAAGAAAAGTAAACCATCTTCTTGATTGCCCTTGGAGTTAACCACACTTCTGTTCATCTTTACTTTGGAAAAAGCAAGAGGACAGAGGTTGAGGCTGAATCATCATATATTAAAAATTAGTGATAAATTAACTTGTGAGGGAAGGGTAGGAAAAAGTGAAGTCACTGTCATTTGGGTAGATTAAATCTGGGGCTTACTTAATATTTTGTCCTACACAGCCAACAGAGACACTAGTATAATCACAGTTGATAACTATTTAATATTAAACCACAGATGATTTAAATTTTTGAAAACTAAATCTAAGATTGATCTCAACACATTACTAAGACTGACTTCCTGCCAGCTGAAATTATTACAGATTTATACTATCTGGATATAGGAAGAAAACTATTTGAATTTTAAGTGAAAAATGAAGATATGAGCTTTGACTTGGATAGTCTTTGGAATACAAGAAATAGAACCACCTACAAAGTTTCTGTCGCAAGCAATATAATTCTGCACATGATGTAAACAGATACATATCATGAAGTCTGCAAGACACTTTTTTTAAAAAAGCACATCTACATAGCCTGATAAGATACCAGGGTGGAACAGATAAAAAACTACAATTCATTTTAAGAACTAGTTTCAATTACGCACACTACACTTTAAACAAATCTCTGTAGACTCTTGAGACATCGTCAGGATTTTCTTGCCAATCAAGTCTAATAAACAATATAAATTATAAATATAAATTATAAACTCTGAGGAGGATCATTGGTTCTGAAAATTCATAATTCTCACTGAGATAGTCTCCCAATACTTAAAATTAAAGTAATGTACTTGTTACTTTAAACATCCAGCTAAGGACTGAGGATTTAGCTCAGTGGTTCCGGCACCTGCATTGCAAGCACAAGGTCCCGAGTTTGATCCCTGCTACCAAAAACAAAACCAAACATCCAGCTAAATGAATGTAAGAAGATACCTAGTTAATAATTCTATTTTGAATGCTTGTTAATTCAGTCAAAAATTTTACTGGGCACTTAAAAGACAAATTTCCCTCTGCCTTTTAAGATCATTATAATTAATGAAGAATCAAGCATAGCATGGGAACTAGGGCTTGTTACCGTATTCAAAGAGTATATACTTGAACTTGGCTGGGGCATGCATTGACCCCATACATTGACATTATTTGGATTCCTGGGGGTTGAGAGGTAAACATATTAAAGATGTTCCTCACTAGCAGTCTATTAGATGGTTTTGCAGGGATCCACAAACCTTGAAAAAGTTTCTATTTAAAAATAAATTCAATGAGCAATTACTATATTCCAAGCAGTCTTCTAGAATTGGATACATGGTAATGAACAAGACAGTCAACCTCTGACAGTAGGGAACACTGAAGGGTCAACAAATAAATGAATAAGGTCTTTCAAAGACTGATAAACTTTTATTGAATGACAATAAAACAGGGTGATGAGATAGATCAGGAAACTACTTAGGCTATACATTGCTACCAAGTGTCCAGAGCTCAACTGTCCCTGTTATCCAGTCCCTGCAAAGGCTGCTCCTGCCTCCCTCTCTCCGTTGCAGGTGCGTTTGACCATGGCCTGCTTGCTGCAGCCACAACCTCACATTCCTGCTCGAATCTTCACGCTTCTTTATAGACTACTCTGTAACTCAGGTCTCTTCTTTCTTAACACTTTTTGCTCTAGTCATGGATCTCAAATTCTGAATCATAAGACTGGTTGTACAAGGTACTGATATCTGTTTTCCTTTTGTTTGACATAGTGAATCAACTAATTATAGTGCATTTGGTCTAACTGTTCACTGTTCAGCTATTCTCGGCTTGTTCATTTCTTAAAATCTGGGACTTGCTTCCCAAATATTTTTTTGAGAGGAAATGCTACTGGTTTTAGAAGGATGATAATCCCACTACTACAGTCAAATATGATTTTATAATTACTATAGGAGAAGCAGCAAAGAACTAGTGGTTGGGACAACAGGCTCAAGTCTACAGTCAAATTAACTAGGCTCAAATACTGGCTCCATCACTTCACAGGTCTTATACCATAGCAAATTGTGAGCAAAATATTTAACTTTTTTTCCTTATTAGTTCCTTTACCAACATGACACCAAATTCTTACTTTGTACTTGATAGGAAGATTTTTTTTTTTATAATGTTTTAGGGTTTTTGTTTGTTTATTTGTTTTGTTCATTGGGGTTTTTGTTTTTTTGGTACCGGGGATCTTGGGTCTTTGCACTTGCATAGCAGACAGCGAAACCACTGAGCTAAATCCCCGGCCCGATAGGAAGATTTTAAAGAGGACTGAAAAGGGTTAATATATAAAAGGCTTTAACAGGGCCCATAGTATGCCAGCTGCTATTGTTATTACCGTTACAATTATTAATTATACAAAAACCTTTAATATGATTCTTTAAACAAGATTATATAAATACTATATTTATAGGAGATAGGGTTTTTTGTTTTTGCTGTGCTGGGGATAAAACCCAATGCCTCACACATGGTAGGTAAGCACTCTTACCACTGGGCTGCATCTCCAAGCTCAATACTATACTCATATATGAACTGGCTATATTATTTTATCTGGTCTGAAGTGGGTTTTATTTCTAGAATTAAAACAATTCCAAATTTTGCCTGTTCGACTATATAAAGATTACACCATTTAACAAGACATACTACAAAGCTTGCTCTAAAAATAGCAGCAAGATTCAGCCTGTAAAAAAATGACACTTCCATAAATGGAGCATTTCTTGTCTACTGTTTCTTTAGGAAGTAGGGGTCAGAATACAACATGAAAACATAAGACAGTAAATACATTTGTGACTAAAAGACCTGCAGCTACAGTTGGATACTCAGGAGGGTGCTGTTTTCTGTACACTACGAGAGTCCAATATAATCTTGCTTGATTTGAATTGAGCCAAAATCTACATTGGATATGAAGGATACATACACTGCAAGTTTTTGACTGATGTGAAAATATTTTTCAATGCTTGATAGTCCACAGCAGCTAAATGAACATTATCCTTGTGAGGAATATCTAAAACATCATAGCTTCTAAGTCACGCCTAAAACATGAGAAAAACAAACGACCCAAATTTAGGATATTTAAAAATAAGTCATGCTTATATGGTCTAAGGTATTTCAGTAAGAAGCTAACCTTGCAGAAAACCAGGTCCATATGCCCCCACATACACCCTGTGGCTCTCTCCTTTAAACCAGACAACTACAGTACTATACTGAATATGCCAGTAAGGCACGCACTTCTGCGAAGCCTCAGTGTGCCTCCATGCTCCTTATTCCTTCTAAACAGAACCAAACATGGTTAGAACCAGAAAAGTTATTAGGCTTTGTATCTCGTGACTCAGTAGCCTAGTGTAAGACACCGGCCCAGCAAGAGACTACATACAAGAACGCATGTGGTGGACCAAATCAAATCCTCTTGTTTGCTATCTAGGAGGGAAAGAAAGAAAAAAGGTGGCAAAGAGGAAGAGGAAAAGGGAAAGGAGGAGTAGGGAAGAAGGAAGAAGAGAGGAGGAAGAGCAGGAGATAAGAGAAAGAACGGATGGACAAACAGACGGCAGGAAAAGGGATAGAGGTAGTGTGACCTAAAGGTGATTAATTGTGAGATCTAGAATCAAACTGCTAAGTTTAAATAAATCCTGCCTTCACCTTGGGTAACAGGATTAAATGAGGCATTAGCACAGAGCTCGGCATATCAGAGAATCAAGACTGGAATGCTGATCTTGGACAGCAGAATGAGAGAGAAGCAGGTAACATGAGAAGCATGGGGAGTCAGGGCTAAGCAAATCCTGAGATGCCTGGAGTTCAAAGCGGTATCAAAGGCAGATGCTCAAGGACTGCCAGAGACAGCCACATTCCACAGGCTCTGACTGCCCTCCCATTGCTATGAGGCCCAGCTGGGTAGGTGATGAGACTGGCTCTTTACTCCTTAAACGTAGGTTCTTTTAGGGTGCAAAGAATACTAACACAACTGTTCTAAGAATTATGTATTACAGCAGCACAACTCTAAAATGCCTAGAATCATAGAATCCATCCTATGATGGTTAACTTTTAAAATGTAATATACACAGAGTACATACGAGAGAAGTTTAGCTCTATGGTTAAATTCATTAACTCACATATAGTACTTTATTCTTTACAAGCTACTTCAACACTTAATCTCACTTGAACTTCTAGCAACACTGAAAAAGTACATGTATTCTCAGTGTTGCTGAAAAGCCTCAATTAATAAAAGGCACGTGCAACAGCCCCAGTAATCACTTTCCACAGTTTCAGTAACCGGTCAATCTCAGTGCGAAAATACCAAATGGAAAATTTCAGAAGTTTTTAATTGCATGCTGTTATGAGTAGAATGATAACATCTTGCTCTGCCCTGCCCAGGACATGAATCATCCCTTTGTTCAGTGTATCCATGCTGTATTCACTACCTGCCCATGAGTCACTTAGCAGTTGTGCTCGAGTAATCCTCATTTTACTGAAAAATGGCCCCAAAGAACAAGAGTAATGATGCTAACAATTTTATTACGGTACATTGTTATAACTGTTCTGCTTTAGTACTAGTTAACAAAACTCTGTTACTGTGCCTAATTTATAAATTAAACTTTTATCACTGTAAATGTATGCACAGGAAAAAACACAGTATATAGGATTGTTTGAGGCATCTCCTTGCAGGTCTTGCAATATATGCTCCATTAATATCACCTTTCAATTAAGAAAAACAGTTGCATTTTTATCTATATAAACATACCCTGCAAATCTTTTCAAAGAATCAAGAACAGTCTAAAAATGTCAATTCTGGTAAGTTTGCCTTCAGTTGTACCTCACTCTAGAATTCAAGTAGGCTCACTTTGTATGGGTATGTGTTTAAAAAACAGGTTAACTCACCTTCATTTATTTATTTTGGACAAGTAGGTTTGCCAGGTCCTCAGAGAAGTCTTATCTTTTTACCTTTTATCTACCTTATAACTTGTTCTACCACTAAACATATATCGGTCCTTGAAAATAATCATCAAAATGAATTGGAAATTTTCAATACAAACACTTAAGATCTGTGATTCTTCCACCTAGAAACATCACTGGAAATTACTGCAGCTGTCAAAGCTGACTTAGTGCCTGTGTTCCTGCTTATTCTATGTGGTATTCTGTGGTGAAATCAGATTCCTTCATATTGGAGCTACAGTAACTGTTTTTCAAGAATAAAAGTACCAGGCAAAACCCTGGAATATTAACTATTTTTAGTGGTCTCGATTTTAGAGAGAAAATGAATACAATAAACTTTCCTAAGAATGGAATGTTAACCCTGAGGTCTAGGGATTACCACTTTTATAGAAATGGTTTTAGCTTTACTTCAATTTTAAAATCTATCTGAAATAGCATCTTTAGGATTGAAATCTGGACTCCACCAAGTAAGTTTCCATTTCTAAATTTTTGAGCATTAAAATTTCTTAGAATGGGTCATACCTGGATAAAAACTTAAAGGCCTGTATACACAGGTGAGGACTGCTTGTAATATATCACACACACACACACACCACAGTGTGACCAGACCATGTTAAGACTTTTATCAGAAAGTAATTAACTGGAAGTTTATCCTAATGTTTTGAAAGCACAGTATTTCTTAAGACATACCTTTACAGAGTCAGCAATTTCCTGTATACCCTTAGCAGCAGCATTTTTTATGATTGGTGTAATTAAACCTTTATCTGTTGCCACAGCCACTGAAATGTCGATAGAGGGCATTTGCTTTGGGCCCTGTCCATCCCAGCTTACATTAACACCTGGCATTTGCTGAAAATAGGGAAAAAATGTTATGAAAGCAGCAACTTTAGATCAAGGTGGTTACAGAAAAACAATTTACATTATTATGCATTTTCTAAAGTGAAGATAGCTGGACAGAAGGAAACAAAAATTTGGGTTTGAAAAAATGGTTTGGATCTGTGGTATTTACATTTCAGAAGGATAATTAAAAATACCATTTTATTTTTAAGCAAGCTTGAGGAAACTGTGGCTAAAAAAGGGCTTCCTTTATTAAATCTAACTGCCAGAAGGTATTTAATGTTTGTTATACTTCCTGACTCATGTGATGACAGATATGACCTTGAGGGGAAGAGGGAGCAGAAAAGAGTAATGATACTCCATCACATTCCTTTGGCATGAAGGAAGCTTGACTTTTTAAGCACAGCTCTGGAATATATATTAGTTAAGCCCTCACTAAATGACTCCCTTATTTAAAAATATTTTCCTAAGTTTCATATATAGCACACTATAATATATATGAACATATATGCATTTAACAAACAATTGTATCAAAGGCTGAAAAGAACTGATGAAATTATTAAATGTATCATGTTGCCAGATATCACAGGACGAAACAGTGCTGAAAATGGAAATTAAAAAAAATTAATTTCACATCTCAAAAATGCTTTCTACAGAATAAGATCGAAGCCTCCCATTATATCACTGAAACATGGAAATGCACAATTTGATTCTGGTTTACCTATTGATTTTACTTGTGATCACTCCCTTAAGATGAACTTGCCACTTTATACCAGCTACTCACTGTCCTGCTCATTTACGTTTTAGCACTACCTTCACATCAATTTCAACTGCTCTTCTGATTTCTTCATCTTTTAAGGAGTGATCATTCATTCATTCAACAACGCCAAAACTTCAAAAGACTGAAGAAATAAAGTCCCAATGCCTCAGAGGATTTAAAATTCTTTAAAAACAACAGTTAAGTAAAATAAAAATAACAGAACAAAACCCAAAAATAATCACAGATGAAGAATATCTGACAAAATAATCAAAATAATTTAATCAGAAAATTATGTATTAGAAACCTGTGAACATGTTTTATGTTGTATTCAAAGGAAAACATTATAAACCTTATTTATAAAAACAATTTAAATAAGTTATACATTTAAATTTTCTAACGAAATATTTCTAACCAAATTGAACCTAAAGAAATAAAGGAAGAAATATATAATAAAACAAAATATCTGTTCTATGAGAACACAAATATGCAATAATGGAAGCAAGACAGAGCTTAGAATAATTCTAGATAATGAGAACACTAAAAGAATTTTAAGAAATAAATATTAAAAACTTTAGGCTAGTATGTCTGGGAATCTAGATGAAATAGGTGATCTGGGAAAATACAGGCCTCCACAATTAAAGAGGAAGCTAAAAATTAAATAGATCAATAGCTATGGGAAGGGTGGGAAATGTACTAAGATCCCCCCCTCAAAACAGAAATCTAGGCTCAGATACTTCACTGGGAAATTCTATAAGACTTTAAGAAATAAAAATCCTTAATTTAATTGAAATAAGCACAGATAAAGGAAAAGCAACAAGAACCTAAATGTATTTATTTAATGACGCCAATTAAAAAAAAAAGAAGAGCTGGCTAGCATGAAATTTAAATTGCAATTATTTTTGGTTCCTAATACAAATTATACAATGAAATGTAGCTAATGACCTTTAGGGATTCATTTAAGGAATGCAAGAATGATTCTAAATTAGAAAATCATTAATATAATTCGAAACATTTGGTTAAGAGAAAAGCCATATGAAGATACACACTGATAAGACACAGGCTGGGGATGAAGCTCAGTGCTGCTGCACCTGCCTGGCAGGTGCAAGGTTTTGATTTTGATCCCCAGTACCGAAGGAAAAAAAAAAAAAGAATTAAATGTGAAAAGAAAAGACGTGGCTTTCACGTTTTCCATTTTTTTGAGAAATAAACATGAATTCACCATAAACATACTGTAAATCCAGTAATAAACAGGCAGCAATGGAGAAAATAGGCTGATTACAGAAAGAGGGCAGGAGTGGGAAGGCAGAAGTCTAAGTTACAAATTCACATCTACCCGACACTTCTACTTCACCTGTCTTCCTGCTATCTACACTGCGAATCTATTAGGCTTCTCAAACTCAACATGTCCAACACCAAACTCGAGATTCCTCACCTTAAAGCTGTTCCTCTCCCAGTTCTCCCAATTTTAGTACATGGAAAAATCCACTCTTTTTACTGCTTGGGCCCAAATCCTTACTCTTTTTCCTTGAATGCCCACACAAAACCCACCAGCCAATCCTATTTGCTGGCTTGAAATGTAACTAAAAACTTCACTTCACCCCAGCCCCACTGCTACCGCCTTGGTTGACTTCTGCAGCCTGCTAGGAGCGGTCATGGTTCTACCGGGGCCTCTCCACACAGCGATCAAAGCAATCTCTTCCTTTTCTTTCTAAAGTTAAGTCAGATCACATTAGTCCTTTGCTCAAAGCTTTCCGAAAGACTTCTTAGCTCATTATCATAAAATCCTAGTCCTCACCAGGGCCAACAAGACTTCATGGACTTGTCCCCCTTCCAATCCTCCCTTTTTCATTCTCTTTTTAAAAAAATCTTTCATGTCTTCTCTTCTTCCACTCTATGCATACTACACCCTCAGTGCTGTGTCTCTGGGTAACATGATACATTCCTGTGTTTGCTGGTCCCTCTGTCTAGGACACTCTCATATCAAGTATCTATTTGACTCATTTTCTTTTAGTCTGTCAATATTATCACCTTATTGGAGAGGCCTCCCTTAATTTTTGAAAACTGTACTCCTAGTTATTTTGAGCCCTGTTATTTAGATGTTATCTAGATGTTCCCCCAAAGCCTCATACATTCATAGGTCAGGCCTTTTGAAACTGGCTGGATCTAGGGTATATGAATATGGAGTAAGGGTGTGTGATAATTAAAATTACTCCACTGGCTGGTTTAGCATAGCTCTGGGTGTGGATAATCGGAAGGCCTACCCTGGGTGTGGGTGGCAACACCCAAAGTCTTATAGCCTGGATGAGATAAAAGCAAAAGGGAGCCTTGCTGCTGTTGCTTTGCTGCTTCACTTCCCTGCCTCCTGCCTGCTCTGCCATGGACAGTTTCTCCTCTGTGATGTCCCTCTGCCATGCTGCGCTGCCATGGAGCCAGTTGACTATGGACCAAAACCTCTACAAAGTGTGAGCTGGAATTAACTTTAGGTGCCAGGTATTTTGTCTCAGCAATGAGAAAGTAACTAAGACGGACAGCCCCTTATTCTGCTTTTTCTCCTCAGCACCATCATCATCTGACACATTTGTATCCTCTAACAAAAATATAAACCCCATATCTCTACTTCCACATCTCTACTACATATTAGCACAAGACAGGGATCAATTAGTATTTGTTGAATAGTCTTTATATTGTTATAATTCATATGGGAGCCCTTTTAATCTCAGTTTCATCTGTAAAACAAGGCAGTAAGATGAAATGACAAGGCATTTAAAAAAATTATGAAATTTCTATAACTTAAAAATAAGAGTATCATTTATTACAAAAATCCCAAGACACGAGACTTAGAAGCCAAAAACATCTGGCATTTGTGACTTACTTTAAGAGTAACAGCTGCTGCCTTGATGATAAAATCATTTACTGACACTTTAATGTCATCTGAAAAAAATGAACACATTAAAATCAGTATCAATAATAAAACTTTAACACTGACTGTTATGATTTCAAACTTGTAAATTATGGAATGTACTGACAAACAATAATGAAAAAATATTAGAGATTTTTATTTACTTGCTTAGGCAATAAGGTGCTTCTGATTAGAAAAATTTGCATTATATGAGGTCTTGGTTAAATAGCTGATCATAACTTGATTTATCCCTTTGCTTTTGCCAACAGGTATGAAGGTGTTTGGAAAATGTAAACCATACTTGATTATTTCTTGCAAGAGCTTATAGAAAAAGACTTAAAGTCAACATCTAGTCCATAGTTATGTGGCAAGAAACACATATCCTGTTACTATGGTATCATAGCATTTTACATGAACAATAGCTCATTCCAAAAGTATGCTGGAGATTTTACAAAGAGATTAGATGAATTACCTGCCATAAACCCTAACTACTGCCGAACTGTCACAGTAAATGTTGGCTGTAGACTATCACAGCTCTTCTAATTCTGATATCTAGAAATATATGAGCATGTGGTTTATCTGCTTAATACTCTGTTGGGAATAGAAATATAAATGGACTTCCAGTATTCAGAGAATTTTATGACAACTATATATAAAAGATTTGGTCTGCCCAAATTCATACAGCTGGGCATATTTTATGGACACGTTCTGCTTACCTCACATAGCTCTCTCAGGCCCCCTTCTTCCTTCACCCCCTATTTTTAGGTACACAGAGTGAAGACCCATAGCCACCTACCAGCTAATAACTTCCAAACCTACAGCCCAAGTCCAAAGTCCTCACCGAGAACTCTGTCTCCATGGTATTCTAACACTCAGAAGTGTTCTTAAACTGGTCACTTTCTTTGCCTTGAAACACTTTCACTTACTGGTTCTTATGTCAACATACTCTCCTGCTTTCTTCTGGTCTATCTGCTCACTTTCAGTCCTTTCCATTCAATGTTGGCATCTCCCGGAGAGGAACTTTCAATTCCATGGTTTTGATACCATTTACATATTCAACTTCTCACACAACATTTTTTCCTACATGGTTAACAGGCATCTCAATTCTAATCATATGCAAAGGAGGTTTCTTCTTAAGTTCCTCAATTTTTAACTCTTTATTATAGATTTTCAAACACTAATGACACTAAGAAATTGTTTGTAAGGGAATATCAAACATTTTCATTTTTACATTGTTATGTGACAAAAAGCATGGAATACCAGCTTACAAAATGTCATACATTTTAACTTTATATAAGAGAAAGGAATGGAAATAATGTAAAATCTTTGAAGACCGACAAAAAAAATTCTTAATTGTTAACCATGCAAAGATACTAAGCTAATCCATATCTTCACTGAAATATTATTGCTTCTTGCCTCATGAAAGGAAGGAAACATGAACATTATTCCCATATTAACATCTTTATCAGAGCTAAGCAAGTATGATTTAGACCTATATGAAGTATTTCCAAGGATAATTTTTTTTTCATAAGTTATGACCTTCCTTGGAATAGCTTTCTCTTTGTTTTGTAAACTTTAAAAATTTGTCAAGCTATCTACATATAAAATTTTAAAATTTGTATATAAACTGCTTTATCACTCCTGCTTTCAGAAAGCTGCAAGAGGAAGTTGTTCTTATCCTAACAGGCTGAGAGAAAAAGCAGGACACATTATAAAATCATATCCATTCTTGAGTCCATTAGGGGGCTGAGTTACCAAGCACAGATGAAGTGAATGCCAAAGGGAGATAATCTGCTCTGAGGAGAGATGTCTCCGACACAGGAATGATTACCTGCTGTCAGAGAATGGCAGCGGGGAGGACAGGGTAAGTAAGGTACAATGTGCCTCAACAGATGAGGAGTATTTCCAGAGAAGAACACATTCAAATAGAACCACAGAGGAGAAACACATACTAGCACAGATAAAGTATATTTTTGTGAACTTTTGAAGACTACATATAGCAGAGAGAAGAATCTGTACCTTAAACAATATCAATAAAAACTATCCAAACTAAAACTCAAGGAGAGAGGGAAAAACATGTGAACCAAAAAAAAAAAAAAACTTAACATCTTTTGTACAATTCATAATAACATTATAATTAAAGTCTCAAGTAGAAAGCATATAAAACATATGATATAGTTAACAACGCTGAGCATTTTTCCAAAACTTATGAAAGACAATAAACCACAAATTCAAGAAACCAAGAGAAATATAAAAATCCTAGGTAGATTAATAGTCAAATTGCTAATAGAGAAAATCTTTTTTTTTTCAGGGCTTGGGGGTTTTATTGAGGAAACTACTCCTTCTTAGACAGGTATGCGGTAAGGTTAGGTGGTTTTATAATTGGCTGAAAGGTGTCCAGCTAGTACAGCACCTCAACCCCAGACTCTGTCCAGAAGTTGGGTTGTGACCATAAGGGTTAGCATTAGGGTTAGGATTAGGGGGAAATCCAAAGGTTCAAAAGAAAGTGGCACTGGTGCCCACAAATGCCAGATATTTCTGGACCCCAAGAAATCCAGCTTTATTGAGGGATGCCCTGATGATAACTACACAGGTCTGAGACTGACCTAGAGGATTCCCTGTAAGGTTCCCATGGGTAATTGACCCAATGAAAGGGTCTATAATGTTTCTATGACTTAATCCCAAGGAATTCAGTCTTATAAGATCACATCCTGGGGATGAAAGGCTCAGGAACCACCCGGAGATGCCTTGTAAGGTCCCCACAAATGGGTTGGGGATTGACCGAGGGATAGGCCTGTTAGGTTTCCACAACTCCTCCTGCCCACAAATGCATTTTGGGCTATGCCTCATTCATCCCACCTGACTCCCTGTTTGATTGTCTTCTCAGGTGGATATTCAGCAATGCAAAGGCAAACTGGGTAAATTTGTCAAGGACTCTGAAAAGTTTGCTGATGGCTTAAATACTCTAACTGGCTTTTTTATCTGATCTGATGAGCTTGTTTCTAAGGGAGCCCCCCTGGGACACTGCACCCTGATCTCTTAGGAGTTTACTTTTTCTCCTCTCTAAGGAGCCAGTGGGCTACCAGACCATGGGCAACACCCTGCAGATCCCAGTGACCTTGCCATTAGGCTGTATACTATTTTTCAGTCAGATTTTTTCTAAAAAACCCAAGGAAAAGGGTATGAAATCCCTTGTGTTCATGCTTCTGTGGTTCTTAATAGACAAAATCTTGAAGGCACACAGATTGGTGGGGGGGGTGGGGGGATGCACAAGGGAACAAAGATTAGGAATGGCAGCAGAAACTCTGTAATCCAGAAGATAATGAAACTGTATTCTTATCTAAAAGTACTGGATCAAAAAACCATTAACTCAAAATTATACACTAGCAGAATTATATTTCAACACTGAAGGACACAGATCCATTAAGACAGCTTCTATTGAAAAAAAAAGATAGCTTCTATAAAAAATAAGAAAACTGCAACTATTTGTGAAGATTTAAAGAAATTAGAGCCTTTATATACTGTGATGGTAATGCAAAAAGGTGCACCATGCTGGTGGTTCCTCAAAAATTCAAAATAGAACTATCGGATTAGCCAGCAATTCTGCTTCTGGGGCTATAACCCAAAGACTTAAAACCAGAGATACAAAGAGAGATTTGTACATTCATGCTCCTAGCAGCATCATTCACAATATCAAACAGGTTAATGCAATTCAAGTATGAATTGATGAATAAACAACATATGGCACATATATAAAATGGAATATTATGCAGTTGTAAAAAAGGAAGGCTATTCTGCCACAAGCTATTTCAACAAGAATGAACATCAAAGAAATTATACTAAGTAAAATAAGCCAGTTAAAGGACATGTACTACATGATTCCACTCATATGAAGTACTTAGAGCAGCCAAATTCAAATGAGCAGAAAGTACAGTGGTGGTTGTTAGGGGTTGGAGGGAGAGAAGAATGAGGAGTATCGTTTCACAGATGGCACTTCAGATGAAAGCGTCTGTGATGAATGGTGATGATGGCTGCACAAGAATAATGCCAGGGAACGATCTGTATGCTTAAAATGGTAAATTTTATATTATGTACATTTTACCACAATTAAATTTTTAAAAAGAAAAAAAGTAAAGGAGAAATAGAATTTTGCAGATAAAATTTATTTGCCATACCAACTCCACTGCAATAAACAAAGAAATTAGTAAGAATGATAGCAGAAAGCACCTTAGATCCATATAT